CTATACCTTATCATTCCTAAACAAGTGATCAGATGGAAGTGCCAAATAGGGAGCTGAAGAGAATATTGGAGATGGTATTGAATGGCTCGAGAACTAATTGGTCAAGGAAGCTTGATGATGCACTGTGGGCATATCAAACTACTTATAAAACACCAACAGGCATGTTACCATATCATCTTATGTTTGGGAAAGCTAGTCACCTTCTAGTGGAGTTGGAGCATCGAGCATAATAGGCAGTAAAATAGTTAAACAACGACATAACATCAGCCAGAGAAAAGAGGATGCTATAACTAAATGAATTAGATAAATATCAAATGGATGCCTTTGAGAATGCAAAGCTGCAGAAGGAGAGGACGAAGAGATTGCATGATAAATACGTCCAGAGGCGTGAGTTCACTCTAGGTTAGAAATTACCATTGTTCAATTCTAGGTTGAAACTTTACATTGGAAAACAGAGCTCTAGATGGTTTAGACCATTCACAATTGTTCATGTCTTTCAATATAGAGCAATTGAGGTGGCTCATGAGACAAATGGCACATTCAAAGTAAATGGGTAGCGTTTGAAAGCATATTGGGGTTGTGGTTTTGATAAAGAGAAGTCATTTTCCCAACTTGCTAACCCGGGATGATCAAGCTGCAAAGTCTAGCTAAAGACTATAAATCAAGTACTTACTGGCAAGATAACTTCTTACCCTTTCATTTATTTCGCTTTCTATAATTGCATTGCATTAGATGCTAGTTTGCATTAGTTATGCACGTTTTAATTTAGTTTGGCGGTCATCATTATCATTGTCACTTAGCTTAGTTAAAATAAAATATTATTTGAGTAAAAAAATGAGTTGAAATAAGCACAAGGCATGAAATTGGAGTTAAGGCAAAAAAAATGGAGAAAAATAGGCTTGGTGGCCGCACCTAGTTGTGCTATTTGACTGCATAGCCTGAACCTGGGATGAAAATTTTCAAATGTCAAGTTTTCTCTTAATTTTGACTCTTTTGATTGTTTTATTCATCTCTTAATATGTAATATGGATATAAATATCAGAAGGAGCTTAACAAGTTGCACTTTAAGATGGATTACCAAATAGCTCCTCCCACATTCAATAGCAAAATCTGGAGAGTAACTTCTTCCTCTTCTTCTCCATTCCCTTATATCTATGGTTATGCTTTAGGACATTGATGACAATGTTGATTTTAAGTTTAGGAGTTGGAAAACTTTGAATTTTTTACTTTTAGTTATTGCTTTAGTGTATGATAGTAATGAGAAATTTAATCTTAAATTGCACATTGGGAAAAGTGTAAAAAAGAATAAATTTGGTAGTGTGTGAATCATACGAGATGTGAAATGATATATTTGACCATGGAAGGTTAGGAATTGAAGCAACTTGTAAATTCATGATTGTTTACTAAGTTCTTTACACACACGTCGGTCTTACATTGGAGGAGAGGATAATGATTTGATATTGTGACTTAGAAATGGTTTGTAGATTTATTACTATGATTTCAAATCATGAAGCAAAAAGCTAGATTGTCCAACCAAATATTTTTACATGCTTGTGTGTTTGTTGTTATTTAGGTTATAGTTTTGTTTGAAAACAAACAAATATTTAGTTTGGGTGTTTGATAAGTGTATTTTATACACTTATTCGAGGCCTAAAATAACAATATTTGGTAGTTCTTTTGATAAAGTATATCTTAAATTGTTGTATTTTATGTGATATAAGTAAAATTCAATGGTTGAACAGGGAATTGGAAGAAACAAAAGAAATATCAAGGAAAAGTATGAAATCAAAAGTATGGGGACCAACTTGCAACTATTTGATAGTTGACTCGTATCACAACATGAAGATCAAATATGCAAAATGTTCAATTGGATGCAATTGAGAGCCAAATGGATAGAATATAGTTGAAGTATTCTCACGAATCAATTTCTAGCAGAAAAACTTATACTCTGAATTTTTAGCCTCAACTTGAGACCCATTTTTGGGATAGCAAACATTCCAATTAAAGAAATTGTAATTTTAGAAGAATTGTAGCATTTTGTGTTATAATTTTCAACATAATTTGAATCACCTCATTCAAATATCGACAGATAAAATTATAACCAAAATACCAAAAGGTGCTAAATGACGAACTGATGCGAACCGACTTGAGTGTGGGCAATTTACGGTGCGCTCGTGTCACCCTATTTTCACCAATCCAAGCCATTTGGCTCAATGGTGCGTGGGGCTATTTTCACAAACGAATCAACAGTTTTCTTTTTCGATTCAAATGCAACTTGGCAAGAATTCTTACGAGGATTTTAACATAAACTCAACCCCTATATATATACCTGGATGTCTCCTACATAAAGGGGCTGCTCTTGTACACCAATCATACCCCATTATACATAAAAAAATTTCATCTAAATTTCATCATAAAAGAGGGGCAAAATCATATATTGTTAGAAGAATTTAAAGGCGAAGTAAAAGAACTCATCAATTGGAGATTAAACCTAGGATTTGTGGGCAAAGAAGCGAAAGGATTATTGAAGATTTATCAAGATTGCTTCAAGGTAATTCAAGAACATCAAGATTCATCTTCCTTCATCCATTAATTCACAATTCCAAGCGATGTTATAAAAAATTATGATGTTTTCTTGTAATTTCAATACGATAGACTAGTTATTTAATTGTTGGGATGAAATAAACCCTTCTTATGATTTTTAGGTTTTAATAAATTACTTTGACTTTAATTTGTTTTTAAATTCTTGGATGTGTTTCCCATGCTTTTGAAATAATTGATCACTAGTTGAATTATTTGTGATTTTTTTTGTTATCGACGAGACAATAGGATTATTAGCACAATATAATAAACATTGTAAAGTCCAATAGGAGATAAAGATATACTACTACGTTTTACATGATTTCAGTAAGTATTCTGGTACGTTTAATGCTTTTTTTTTCATGTTCGCAACTTTCATAGAGATATAGGAATGCCTATGTAGAAATAGATATAGTCGTTATCGAGAGGGGCTTTTAATTAAAAAATAGGAATATTGACCAACAAGAATAATTTCAAGTTATCATTTTAAATTGTTGAACTAGAAGTGAATTAACAAGAGAGATTCGACATATTAACAATACTTCTCACATATTTTAAAACCAATTTTACTTGTTTTCACTTATTTATAACTTAGCAATAAACTAAAATCACTTTTGCTATTCGATCAAGGATATTATTAATTTTAACTCAATCAAACACTTAATCTTCATAGGTTCAACACTCTATTCATCATTTTATTACTTGATTGTGATACCGTGCACTTGTGAGATTTTAAATGGTCAAACACCACCAAACATAAATCACTAAAATCTAATTATGCCAATGCTGGGATATATAAAGTTTAGTGGCCATTACAGATATGTCATTATATGGCATCAACACTGATTCAACACAATTAGAAATAGAAACTTATGCAATATTAAAGTAGTCAAACTTTTTATTTGCTTCAAACCACTCGAACACCCAAAAAAAAAAAAAAAAAAAAAAAACCCCC